ATAGTGCCTAAGGCACTTGACTGCTCACCAGAAGGCTGGCGGTTCAAACCCACCAGCCACTCCTCGGAAGGAAGGTTGGGCAATCCTACTTTCGTAGTGATACTGCCTCGGAAACCCAAGGAGGGGTCGCTATGAGTCAGGGCCGACTCGACGGCACATAACAACAACAACACTCTGCATTCAAGGGCAAGTTTCAGAGTCTCTTCTGACATCCATTTTGGTCTTTTCTTCCTTTCCTGTCTTTTTAACGACCTTTAAACTCTCTTCATATATGATGTCCTGATGTCATCCCACAATTCCTCTGATTTTCAGTCATAGGTGTTCAGTGCGTCAAATCTATTCTTCAGATGGTCTCTAAATTCAGGTGGGATGTGCTCAGGTTATATTTGGCTCTCGTGGAGTTGTTTTCATTTACATCAGCTTCAACTTGAACTTGCATGTGAGCACTTGATGGTCTCTTCCACAGTCAGCTCCTGGCCTTATTTTGACTGATGATATTGAGCTTCTCGATTGTCTCTCTCCACAGATATAGTAGATCTTATTCCTGTGTATTCCATCTGGTGAGGTCCGTGTGTATAGTCATGATTTTTGTTCTTTGGAAAAAAGGTATCTTCAGTGAATAAGTCATTGATCTTCCAAAATTCTATCATGTGATCTCCGGCATCACACCAAGGCCACGTTTTTAAACTACTCGTGCTGCTGCTTTGTTTCTGGCTTCTGCATTCCAGTCATCAGTGATTATGAATGTATCCTGATTGCATGTTTGGTCAATTTCAGGCTGCAGAAGGTGGTGACAATCTTCAGTTTCTTCATCTTTGGCTTTAGTGATTGGTGTGTAAACTTGAATAATAGTGGTATTGACAGGTCTTCCTTACAGGCATGTGAGTATTATCTGCCACTGACAGTGTTGTGCTTGAAGTGTGCTCTTTATGATGAATACAATGCTATCCTTCTTCAGTTTGTCATTCCCAACACAGTAGACCATATGATCAGAGTAAGTGATTCAGAGTGGCCAGTATCAGTCCATTTCAGCTCACTAATGCCTAGGATATCAATCTCCATGCATTCCATTTCATTTCTGACAACTTCTAGTTTTCCTGCTTTCTTAGTGCGTGCATTCCATGTTCCAGTTATTAACGTATGTTTGCAGCTGTTTCTTCTCATTTTGAATTGTGCCACATCAGCAAATGAAGGTCCTGAAAGTTTTACTCCATCCACATCATTAATGTTGGCTCTAGTTTGAGGAGACAGCTCTTCCTCAGTTGTATTTTGAGTGCCTTCAACCCTAGGGGCTCATTTTATGGCATTGTATCAGACAAGAGGAGCTCTGGTGGTGCAGTGCCTAAGGCACTTGACTGCTAATCAGAAGGCTGGCGGTTCAAACCCACCAGCCACTCCTCAGAAGGAAGGTTGGGCAATCTACTTCTGTAGTGATACTGCCTCAGAAAGCCGAGGAGGGGTCGCTATGAGTCGGAGACAGCTCAAGGGCACATAATAACAACAACAATAACAATAACAACATATCAGACAGTGCTTCTCTGCAGTTAGTAAGGCTTTCAGTGACTGATTTTTTCAGAAGTGGACCTGGCCACACCATTCTCCCTGGTCTGGAAGCTCTGCTGAAACCTGCCCACCACGGGTGACCCTGCTGGTGTTTGAAATATCGGCACAGCCTCCAGCCGCCCAGCAACACAACAGCCACCACAGTACAGCAGACTTTCTAAGGCAGGCCCCTTCTGGGCTTCTCGCCACTTGAGGGTGAAAGCCATTAACCTCTGTCACAGCCTCTGAGGAAGTCTCCCTCGTCCTCTCTCTGCTGCTGCTCTCTTCTCTGAAAACCTCTGTGGGGTTGGCCACTTGTACAAGCAAACCCCCTCAGTTCCAAGGTATCCCCCTCCCCCCAACAGGACCACCAACCAGTCTCCTCAGTGGACCTCAAGTCACTCAGCCTGTTGGGTGGATTTTCAAGCCACTGTTAACATGGCAAATTGACCAATCCCTTGAAGGTGCATGTAATGGACCAGTCACAGGGTGGATTGCAGCCTAGGGCCAGACAGAAAGTATCAGACCATCAGGTTATTTACAGTTTATCCAAGAACTTCCCATCAACCCAGAGAATTCCCTGTAACAAACTCTCTAGGGTGGAAAAGTTCCTTCTTCAAAGAATAGGGAGAAGGTAACTTCTCCTCTAGGCTTAGGGGGAAAATCTCCCGAGCCGTTTTTCCAAAGAACCAAGACAAAAGGCCACATAAAGAAACTCAGTTCACAACACATCTTTGGCAGCCTGTCCTCTGCTTTTCAACACTCCACCCTGTTCAGAAAGAAGGAAATCTGGATTCTGTTCATTTCAAAGGCTTGTTGAAGGCTTGCCCCGCTCCATAACATTCTGCATAACCCCTAGGGTTTTTGATAACTGTCACACTTTATCCTGGAAGGACATTTGAGTTGGCATAACACAAAGCCCTCAGCAGATTCCGAGGAGGTGCGGACTGAATTCTTGAAAGCAGTAGTTTGCATCATTGCTAAACAGAACAGGAGGTTTGGGGTCTCTCAATGCGTTTGTTGGCCATTCACTGTGAAAACCCTGTACGGCGGTAGAGGAGAAGCTCTGCTGTCTGATTGAATTGCCTGGAGCTTAGACTCTTATTTCAGGTTGAAGCTCTGCCGAGTAAGAGCTCTGACTTGTCTGTCTTACAGGCACATTTGAAAACTGATTGTCAATTTGAAGAGCTTCCATGCGTCCGAGCAGACTGCAAAGAAAAAGTATTGAGGAAGGACCTCCGTGACCACGCAGAGAAGGCCTGTAAATACCGCGAGGCCACGTGCGATCACTGTAAAAGCCAGGTTCCAATGATCACCTTGCAGGTGCAGTATTTTCCGTTCCACCTCTCTCCTCTGTGGTTTCGCCACCGAGTAGCTTTCTAAATGGTGGTTCTAATAGGAGTGAAGAGGGAAATGGGGGTCAGGAGGAGTTTTCATCTGCCTCTTTACAGCGTGAAGGGGCATGTGTTTTGCTGGGTTTGATTTGTGTAACTAACATGTTCACTGCTTTGATTGACTGTCTTTGGGGATGTCAAAGGAATGAAGACCAATTATTCAAAAAATCTAGAATTTTAACTTCCCAGAGAATTGCTTGAAAGTGTTGATGGACGGCTCGATGGGTTACAGCTCTGTGACCACTGGTGCCTTCAGTGGAACGGTTTACTGCACACACGAGATGGATGGGGATTCAGAATGTTTTCAAAACTGAGAGGATTTGGACGCCATTGTGTATTGGGCCTGCGTTAGGATCATGTCGCTTCTGTGTCAATTAAAGTGAAAGGGGGAGGTGTTGGGAGTGAGAGACATGTGTTAAAATAGTCACCTGCCCGGTGTGATGACGCTGTGTTTGTCCACTCACTGAACGAATGCAGTGCACACTGTGGCCAGACACTGTGCTAGGAGCTGGCCTTCAGCAGTGACACTTGGCTGCTGGAGAAAAAGTAGGGCTGAAGGCCTCTGTTAGGAAAAGAGAGGGAATTGTTTCCAAGCAAAACAGATCACTCAACTCTTTTCTAAGTGGAAGATGTTATAAGCAAATTACAGATTACGTTACAAACAAATGTCTAACATCAGGTAAGTGCGTGAAGAAGAATGAACCTGTATTGGGGGAGGGGGAGGGGGAGGGGAGCGATCAGGGCCTCTCTGAGGCTGTCAGCATCGGGGGGGCCAGGGGGTGCTTGGGGCCTCGCTGAGGCTGTCAGCATCGGGGGGCCAGGGGGTGCTTGGGGCCTCGCTGAGCTTGTCAGGATGGGGGCTGAGGGTGATCAGGGCTGCTCTGAAGCTGTCAGGATGGGGGGACTCGGGGGTGATTGGGACCTCTCTGAAGCAGTCAGGATTGGGGGCCCAGGGGGTGATCGTGGCCCCTCTGAGGCCATCAGCATTAGCGGGGCCGGGGGGTGATCGGGGCCTCTCTGAGGCCATCAGCATTAGAGCGGCTAGGGGGTGACCGGAGCCCTTCTGAGGGTGTCAGGATTGGGGGGGCGAGGGGTGATGGGGTTCTCTGAGGCTGTCAGGATGGGGGGTGATGGGGCCTTTCTGAAGCTGTCAGTATCAGGGGCCGGGAGGTGACCGGGGCCTCTCTGAGGCCATCAGGGTCCATCCGTGAGCAGCTGTGGAGAGGAGCGCTCCGAGCTGCGGGGCAGCACATGAGCTCATGTCTCTGAGGGTGGCGGGCTTTTGTATGCGGCTCCATGCACTGAGCAGGAGCACGGTACCCAGGACGGTCGGGGAGGCCTGGCCAGAGGGCGGGGACACAGCACAGCTCTGAGCAAGGGGGTGCATCGCCCTGGCAGCAAGGCGGGTAGATGGGGGTGGGTGGGAAAGCCAAGTAGGCCAAGCCTGCTGCTGGAGGGAGGAACTTTTGGACGTGGGGTCTGTGGTGGCATGGAAGCCCATAGGATTCACTGATGGCATGAATATGGGGTATGAGAAACAGCAGAATTAAGGGTGAGGCTCAGCTTAGTAGTAGGGCCGTGGGGTGGCATGTCTCTTATGAGGAGGGCCCGCGAAAGATAGCATCTTTATAAGAAACTCAGATGCTTGTCCCATAGCTTGAGATGGAGCAGTGGTCCAGGCCGGGTGGGTATTAACTGATTGAGTGGGTGGGAGGAGACACTGAGGCTAGGGTGTCCGCCAGCTGAAGCAGGGTCAGAAGGGCAAGCCGGGTCAGGACAGTGGGTCACAGAACCAGGGGCATCGTTGCCCAGAAGGCGGCATGGCCGGCCAGGTGGGGACTGTGGAGACCATCAGCTGTGTGGAGAGCACAGCAGGGGTGAGGGCCACAGCCATGTGCCTGGTGGGCTGTGGGAGCACTCAGGGGCCACTGTCAAAGAAGCCTTGTCTTTGCTTTTCTGCGTGAGGTGAGACGTAACCTCTGTGTTTACCTTACTTTGAATGGCTTTCCTGTACCTGGGACTTTTCTTCCATTGTGAAATCTTTTCCTATATGGTACATAGACATTTCTACTTACTATGAACTTTTTAAGAACTATGCCCTCCCCCCCCCTTTTTTTTTTTTTTTTTTGCCATAATTAGGGAGCCCTGGTGGCACAGTGGTTAAGTGCTTAACAGCTAAATGAAAGTTTGGTGATTGGAACCCACCAACTGCTTCACTGGCAAAAGATGAGGCGACGTCTGCTCCTGTAAAGACTGACAGCCTTGGAGACCCTGTGGGCAGTTCCACTCTGTCCTCTAGGGGCGCTGTGGGTCAGAATCGAGTTGACAGCAAGTTCCGGGTTTTTGGTTTACTTGCCATGATTGAATAATTCCTTCAGTCATTAGATCCAATGAACAACATTATAGGCCTTACATGTATTAGCATATCGTTATCAAAGTCATTCTTTGCTTCTTGCAAAAACCAATTACCTTTACTTGCTCAATAGGATCTGGGAATTAATTTTCATTTGAGAAGGATTGCGGAGCATGTCAGTCAAAGGCCCACACGGCACACGTGTTCACTGGGCAGCCATAGGGTACCGTCAGGTGCCCGGAGTAGGGAAGAGAATGACTCACAGTCTCTCCCTCAGTTTACAGCCTGATGCAGAGCCGGCAGGAAAAAGAGGCTGTAGTGTGGGGGCCCTAAGGCTGTAGCG